GTACTGCTCATCCAATGTTATATCATGTAGAGAAATATTGGCATATACGCCAAGTATAGAGCCTCTTTTGTATAAACGCTAGGCGTCAGAGGTTCCCAACAAAGGTATCATTACACAATGGTGACGGTCCCAGAAAATTTTCGCAACGAGGTATGGTAGAATAATCGTCTAAAAAAGAGCGTGTTTAGAGGAAGAGCATATCGCGTCTTTTGAACAAAGAAGTTTCTGAAAATGCTTAAAGTGTTGAAGCTTTTGTAGTTTCTAGTAATAGTGTATAGGTTCCCATTAATTCAGTTCAAGGCGCGTGTAGTACTGGAGTGCGATTTACAGGTTCAACTTCTTCTTCTCCGTTCTTCCTTCCCTACTTATATTTGAAACCTTATTAACAAATAAAATGAACAAACCTTTGTCATTGATCTTAACTGCAGTAAAGTAGCAAAATCGATAAGGCCAACAAGCAAGAATAAGCAGACATTGTAGCCCATGTCAATGTGATGAGACAACCACACACTACATGAGTCGCTTCCAAATGACCAAGCGCGATATTTGTGATCAAAGTAGAAGTCACAGCCCTCTTAATAAAGAGATTTCGCGAGTTTTAAGAAAAACTAAACTTTGAAGTCTAGTTCTCACTCCAAAAGTAGACACCCCAATAAAGAGCGCTGATAATTGTTACAAAAACAATTATAATCGAAGTAATTTTGTCAGAGAAGATCTGCCTATATTGCATTGGAAAAGTGATCGCTATGAACCTAAAGAGTATTTTTAATACATGGTTCAAAGCTTAAAAAATAGCCATACCTATTGACGGACATACACAAACAACAATGGAAAGCAGTCTCAACAAAAAATAAAGAAAGTTGTCCAATCCGAAAATTGAGTGAATGCAGTTGCTGTGGTATGGGTCTAGAGCAAAATCATTAGGGGTAGACTATAAAAATTACCGAAATAAAAAATGGGACGTCTTTTGCATCTGGATGACAAAAACGGCAAAATAATTGCATACTAGCAAATAGAATTGCTTTTTACTCACAGAATTGTCCATGGCACAGCCCATACCAAGAAAATGAAGAGAACAGCTGCATTAGAGAGTGCATGATAAGCAGTGAGGTAGCCAAAGGAGTTACGAAACGTTCTGTGACGAATCATCACCAAAAACGATAAAAAATTGCAGATCAGGCCAATAAGAGACACCTAAAAGAAGTTTTTGACTCAGTACAAAATTAATCCGAGAAAAGAAACAACGAGATCTTTGGAAAGAATTATCTTATGAACATCCTAGAAAGAAAGAAATAATTGAGAATATAAAGCGTAAACTATGCAAAAACTTATAAATGTTTCTACACAATAAACAACAGTGTTTTACATTGAAGTAACGTACCAATAGTATGAGACTTCCTTCTAAATAGATTGTGGGCAGTGAATCTTCAAGAGGCATATCTTCCGTAAAGATCTTTACTGCATTAGTAGCATTTGAGAGCACCATCCTAAAAGGGAAAACGATGTTATTATTATGTTCAAAGATCAATTCAGAAAAAAATTAAGATTGTGAGGGTTTTTATCAAGCATATCAAAACATAGAGGAAAGAAAAAAGGAAAGCGATTAAAAAAGAGAGTTTTTACTGAAACACAGTACTTTTCTAACTCTAAAAAGGCCCTTAATGGTGCACAACTAATGTTATCT